ACATTAAAGTTGCTGAAGCTAAAAGGTTGATCAGTAAGGAGGGTGAGAGCGTCCAGATCTTACTTCATTTTGAGCACATCTTACGAGGAAAGTCTTACTGGGTACGTTTAGTTATTCTTCCACCACTCAGATGTTTCAAGTGTCAGTGTATGGGTCATGTAGCAGGATAATGCAAAGTGTGCATGGTGCAGTGGGAATCATGCATATACAAAATGTAGTGGAGATGATAAAGTGAAGCTTCACATGGTGAAGCTAAATGAAGAAAGAGTCAACAAGAAAATAACATAAAAAAGGAGAGCCTCAGTCAAAATAAATAGAAAGAGAATATCCCACAGTAAGGAGAACAAACACTGTGCAAGAATCATGTTCACATGGTTGTAAAGTAAAGGAGAGGACTTTACTTGTTAGAGCAAACTTTGTTGCATACAGCGCTACAACAACAAGAACATGAATGACCTGTGATGACCTCCTAAAATGGTGATCTATATCATAATGTTACCTAATCTACATTCATCAGTGGAACTGTAGAAGTTTCATTGCAAATGTGCAAGAGTTTCAAAAGTACGTTGATGAACTAGATGTTTTACCTGATGCAATGAATGTTGAAGAAACCTACTAAAACCACACTTAGACTTTATAATACCAGAAGATACTTCAGTGAGATGTGACAGAAACAAGGTGGGGGGTGTGCAGTATTCAGTAAGGAAGGCCTGGTATTCAAGAAACTTGTCCATATGAATACAAACTTATTGAGCTTTGCACTTTCGGTAGAACTTGGGTTAACTTTTATAATCCATGCCAGTCACTAAATTTGGGAAAAGATTTGTTCCAAAAGATCTGGAGTGAGGAAAACTTCCTAGTGGATGAGAAAGTGCTCTGATACTTTCCTACCTCCCAACACTGAGTAACAGAAAGAAAGTTGTCTTTCTTAGTTCTCCAGTAAGCCCAAAACTATTTAAAATTCTGTTATCTGTCATCAGAGACAATGACTAACATCACTTGCAATGTTAAAATTTGGAAGTGGAATGAGACAACTTTTAAAATTCATTCCATGTAAGATGTGTATAAAAGTGGAACACCTTACCCGAAAGCATAAACCAGAGTTCAACAGCCCTGAGATCTGGTCTGGAGAGCAGTGGTTATATATATGAAGAAGTCAAAGGCTACACTGAGGCAGCTTTGGCAGGAGACCTTTATAAATAAAACTGATACAATCAGGAGTTAAATTGGGCAGGAGTCCAACTTGCACTATGCTTGAGCTGAGCTCTGTCTCCTTCAATATTATATCGTCATATCACACTTGTATTTTTTTAATCTCCCTGTAAACGTAATAGCATGGTTCTTTCTGGGTATAATTCTCTCAAATACAAAGAGATATTTGAGGCAGGTCTACACCCAAACCCAAACTGGTAACAACAAGTTTCATAGTGCTGCGGGGATGACGTATTTTTGTAGGCAAAGCTGAAAGTTAACATCAGTCTGGTTCCCTTGACAAAGAGTCAATGGGAATTTTGCATTAGCTTTTGGATTACTGCAGAAAATAAACTCGGTGACAAACAAAAGGTTTTGATACTAACATGTTTTGTTCACCTTGATAATTTTCACAAATGAAGATCAATTTTGTGATTTTTGAAGCCAAAATACAATCACCAGAATTAAAAAAAAAGTCACAACTGGGGGTTTACTTATGTATTTTATGAAATAGAATTAAACAGAACACAGAACAAAAGAAAGCCATTTGAACTCCATTCCCCGTAATCCTCCACATTCGCCCCTGGGTATGACCTCCCCCCAGGAACCTCACAACCAGTTAATGTTGGTCACTGTGTGACACGTGATTCAAGGTGTCACCAGGCCAATGAAACCCAGCCTTGCCCCTTGGTTCCTTCTCTTCTCTCTGCTCTTCAACCTCTCCAGGAGTAACAAGGCTTTTTATCCCCTGCAGGCTTGCTCACAGCAGAATGCTCCACTTCACTCTTCTCTAACAGCAGCGATGCGAGTGCCTGCTTAAACTTAAGAGTGAACAAGTTCAATTCAGTGCTAGCAGCTATGACACAAAGTTAGCTGATTTTACAAGCAACAGAAGCCACAGCAGAGTTAACGTGGAACAGCTACCTCTGTAAGGACAATAATTAGGAGCAACCAGCGATCTCCTCAGAAGCCACACAAGCAGTAACCTGCAAGACTGAAAAATGAAATAAACACGTTTAAAGCCAAAAACTGGTACAAAAAACAGTTTTGCTCTCTGGGGCTAATTTTCCCCTTCTTGCCAACTGTACAGGGGTGAATTTTTATATAACTCACTTGTTTACATTTTAGTAAGGCTTAAAGTTCATAATTGATGATGTGCCACTTTGAGTGACAGGCAAGTGACAATATGCCTGCCACAAGTCAGCATGCATGGAAGGTGACATGAGCCCCTTGTCCTTTATCCCATTTTTGGATTAGCCAGAGTCATGTACTGGCAAGATGGTGACGACAGAACGGCCCACTCTGAGCTTCAAAATTGCTCTCCAGGAACCTATGAGTGACGTCATGGAGGCAACGTCGATCTTTATTTACAGTCTATAAAACCACACAGCCAGAGAGGACTTCACTTTAGGAAACAACACAAACTCACTTGATTTTTACAAGCACACTGGAAAGGACGTTTTTTTATTCAAAGGACTGGGTAACATTGACTCGGGTCAAACCTAACCGAGCACAGCATTGCACAGCACAGCTAAGCACAGCACTTTGTTAAAGTATCCACTGAGCTTTGTTGTTGTAATGTCTGCTTAGGTTGTTGGTTAGCCACACTGTTAACTTGATACTTGTATGTTTCACACACATACCTGTAGCACATCCCAGTACTAGGACTTGCATGCAGCTAACCCTCTCTTAACCTTGCATGGCATGACATGTGGTCTTAACTTACTGTATAATTTACCGCCATCTTGTTTGTAGTCCTTCTTGTTAGGCCATGTGGTCACAGGGACCACTTTAATTTAATTCAGCCATCTTGATTTTTTTCTGTGTCTACACACACACACACACACACACACCTGTATATACTGACTAGATATTGTGTGTTTTTATTTAATAAATCTCTTTGAGTATATCGGTTGGTGTGTTTAATGTTGCACAAGTATTAATATTTCTGACCTCTACTCAGTAGAACTCTGATCCTTCAACTTTATTAATCAGAGTTGCAAAGTAATAGTACCATTCAAGACTGTACCAATATTGGCTATCCTGTTTCAGGGTGGTGCACTCGAGGAACCTTAATTCATTTTAAAGTTATTATTTAACATTAATATTTTTATTATTAATACTTTCTTAATTTCTGATAGCCTTATAAACGTAATACCTTATAAACTACCAATGGTACCTAAACAGTTTTAGGGCCCTTGCTTTTTTAACAGTTGCACTCTTAGCTTTTCAATTGAGCTGCAAACCCAATACTTAATCAAGAAAGCATGCAATGATTATTGGGATAGATTGGTCCACAAAGGATCCACCTGTTGGAGCCTTCATTGCGAAGGAAAAGGGGGCTGCATTTTTTGTCCTCAAATGTGGCCTCTGAAAGATGCAGCTCCTGAACTGTGACGCAGTTTATAGAACATTGGTATTAATTATCAGACGTTGACAAATGCACATGTCATTGAATACATCAAGCACATACAAGCTCTAACAGCGCAAATTACACCATTTGAAATGAAATTTAAAAATACACTATGATTTTACGTTTTTGGTCAACATACAGTCTTGCCAACACATGCCAGTCATTCAAATCTCACGCCAAAGAACAGGAATCTTCAAAGCCACTCACTGTGCAAATCATTTTTAGTTTCCTTTATCATCTCAGATTAAAACCTATAATTCATTTTTCTCAAGATATGTTCATCTTTAACATGATTTCTGTTGCTAAAACTGAAACATGTTACAACACTAGAAAATTGTTCAAACATTAAGTACAATTTAATTTTTATTGTAAATATTTTATTTCAGACAATTTAAGTATATATTCATCATCCATTGTTTAATCAGTGCAAACACTGTGTGAGCAGGATATCTGGGTTTAGGGTGACCATCACCAATGTTTCAGTCCATCATGGCAGCACACTGTTTTGAGGGTTACAGTTAGGACTAATTTAAAATCATGAACAGTGTACAATACCTGATGCAGCATACAGATATAAGACACAACCTAAACTAAGCCCTTCAAGGCCTGATTACAAAAGCAGACACCAACAGGCACAACCACAGTGGCAATGACAGAGTTAAAGCAGGAGGGCCATCCGAACGAACAATTGATTGGTAGCATTTTCCCACATTGCCAACTTTATCTACAGCTATGAACTCCACAGTTTGTGAGCAGCAGGAGGCGTTGTAGTTTGCCTGGACAACAGGAGCACTCAGAGAGGTGTATGAGAGGGATCCATTACCCTGTTGCAGGGAGATTCTCTCGATCCCAGCGCCGTTTCCATCAGTAAGGTTGGCCGAGAGCTTCCACTTGAAAGGTCCACACTGAGAAACATCTTGAGGGCAATAATCAGCCTGCACACTAACCACTTCACACAAAGGCTGAACAAAATCTGTTATCTGAAAAGAGAACAGAAAAGAGAAGGTGAGGAATTTATGCATGCATCACAGCAAAAAGAAATTTAGATCTATGGGATACTTGAATAACTTTTGAAGACATGCATGTGTTCGTTGGCTTTGTCCAAAAGCTTTTGTATTTATTTATTTCACTCTTTCCAACTATGTGTGATCCAGGATGTGTCTGAATACCTTGGTGACAACAGACAATCTCAACACGACGTAATTGGAGTCAACACCACTGGACGACTTGGCTTCTGCAGTCAGAGTGATATCAGTGCCTGATGGTGTGCTGGCAGGTGCCGTAATGGTCAACGTATCATTAGTATATTTTCCAGTTGTCAAGGTGAGGCTGTCAAGAGAAGACAGAAAAATACCTTTCTTGGTTATAGGAAGTGTAATTGTGTACAATCCACGCACTTGGTTTTGATTGAAATTTAAAGATGTGACTTGCGGTTAAGTAATCTGTTTGGGTGGAGTAATAACATGTGACTCACCTGAATTTTTACTCCAATTGGTGGGTAGGATTGCACATGTTACTCAACCCAGATGTTACTTTGCAGCAACACACACGTGTATTTGCTAGTTTCAGACCAACGCAGTTGTCATTTCCCTATCCAGTGGCCACATTGCATGGCAATTGCACCCATGTGAGTGCCCATGTGCATGTTGGGCTTAAAATGAGGTGTGGTCAGGTGCATTGTTATCTTGAGGTAGTAGAAAGCGATTGCATGATTGACCAACAAAAACCTGGTCTGAAGTCAATGGTGCAGTGTCTTTTCCACAACCTACCTTCTGTGAGAAGGGGAGTGTCATGGTTTGCTGTGGCAGACACTTTTTGTTAGTTTTGTTTTGGACTTTCTCACTTCCTGTTTTATTTTGTAATTAGGTTCCTAGTGTGTGTCAGTGTTTTTGCTTCCTGTCTTGGTCCTGTGTCTGTGTGGTAATTGTCTGCCCCACCCTAATGTGTTTCACCTGTGTTCAATCACCCTTGCCTCCCTTGTCTATATAGTCTTTGTGCTTCCCTTTGTCATTGTCGGTTCGTCTGTTGTCTTCCGGTTTTGTTCACGTTGTCTGTTCATGTCATGTTCACGTGTGGTTAAATAAACCTGTCTGCATCGTCTCCCATGCGTTGGTTGCATATGAGTCCTACTTACCTTGCAAAACCTGACAGGGAGTAGCATTTTCCCAAAATGTTGCCGTATCATTTCAGTGATTATAAGGACATTTAAAAAAGGAATTATTTTTAGTTTCTTCTCACTTGCTTGAGTAGGACATGTGGAAGTTTCTGTCATTTCTGGCGCTGATGTGATACTGACCACCAGAGCCCTGGGTCGTTACACTGAAGGGGAGCTTAAAGGTTTCTCCTGGCTCCACACTGCTGTCCACCACAGCCTGGAGAGAAAATGGAAGATCAAGGGAAAAAGGCAGGTGAAGAAGAACAATGTCATTCTTGTAGTTTATATTTATACCATTTTTTAGATTCTGTAAGCCTATTATTTTGCTACCCCCATCTTTTCTGTTAGTGATCATCAAACAGAGGCTGCATGAATGGGTAGACAGATTGTGAGGAGGACGTGAAGAGACTGACCTGGATGTTCACTTTGGAGACAGACATCTGGGTGGTAGACTGCCTCTGAAATTCAGAGTTTGACACTTTGTCTGTTCCTTTCAGAATGACAACAAACTCCCCCTCAGGGACCATGTCAACAGTCACCAGGATGTCTCCGCTACCCATGTCAGTCATCGTACCATTGCTCACAACCTCAGGACCAGACACAGTTACTAGGCCAATGTTTCCAACACTCATTGATGACGGACCTTTCCTTCCCATTACTGAGAGCATCAAGGTGACTGGCTGGCCTGGTTTCCAGAGGAGAGAAGGAAAGTAGAGAGAGGAATGAGAGGAAAATTCATTTGTATGGGTAAAAGTGGTTGATTGTTTCAAGAGTAAACCCTGGATCATTTTTAGCATGGGTGGTGGAAAGAAGCCTCGATTTCAACTACCTTTTCATGGGCTGAAATGTGTGATCGATAGGTTGTCATATGCAGCTGTCACTTTGGTGCCCTAATTACTTTTCACCACTAGATGACGATGTTGTAGCCTAAGATAACACATGCGCAGCAATTAACTTACCTGCTTGTGGACACGACGCCATCTGAGCGATACTGGCAAAACCTGGGTGAGGTCCCTTGAAGCTTTCCACAAAGGTATAGATATACGTAATGGTACTCTGGCCTGGAAACACAAGCACACACTTACAGTAAATACAGATACACACTAAGAACTCAGTGAACCTAACAACTGTGATAGAAGGAGCATCAGTCTTCAAACTTTGCATGGACTGAAAGCAGAGGGAATACATATGCTACTGATAAGAAACACTCTGATCAGGAGATCAATCTGTTGGCAAGAAGACAAAATTTCAACAGCGTGTCTGAACAGGAAGTGCAACTGTAATTGACAAATATACAGTGTCTTACCTGTGACTTTGAGTGTGTA